ACCAGTGGTGAGAGATGTTTTTACTCTGGGGCCAATTGAATAGGTCTGGACAATGCTCTCTATAAAAGAGCGATGTATTTGGAATAAATCAGAGTTTTACTCTCTTGCCATCTAGAGTAATTTCATTCCCGTCCTGCCTCAACAGCGACATGAGTTTGTAAGTTAATTAGGTAAGAAGTAAGTATGTAGAACAGGATAGTATCTCTTAAATAGTATATTAATGTAATATAGTCTAGTTTTAATAAAGCTATCCTTCAGCCTTGATCTAGAACCAAACATCATCATTTCTTCCCATTAGGGGTAACCTGATTTCCGATTCCCCCCCTGCTCCAAACAATTTGCCATTATGAACCGGGAGGAATCCCTACAGCAGAAGAGGTTGGTGTGGCTGGAGGGCTGCTGGTGTTTGGGGAGGCAGGGCTGCCTCCTCCTCCTCCAGGCAACCAAAACTAAATCTCCCCTGGCACAGCTCCAGCCACTCCTGCACCTCCTGTCCCTGGTCCTCAAAGAGCAGAGATTGGTGCTGCCCCTCAGGAGGAAGCTGTGGACTGGATTTAACTGTAGTCTGCATTTAATCTGCCTCTCTCCAGAGTCTGGGGCTTGCCAGCACTGGGAGACCCTGCAGGCAGCTGCTTCCTGTGGTTCTTTGGTGCTATCCCTAGGAACCCGTGTGGTGAGAGTTAACCACCCCGTCCTAATGGTTCCCTCATAAATAAGGAATGCTAATAATCATTTTCTATTATTTAAGGCCCAGCAGATAGGAAGAGAATAATCAAGGAAGCTATTTCCACTTTCTGTAACTTGCATTAGTCATGTCTCCTGAGACAGAGGGGAAAGTGTGGCTAGGGGTGGTTAGCAGAAATGGTACTTGCCCTACACTTCTCTTTCCGTCCAGCACCTCCTGGAGACCTCCAGCAGCTTCTCCTTTCCAACATGAGTAAGTTTCCCTAAAACAAAGGGGCTTAAGGTTTATCTGGGAATCCCTCTCAGGGTTCCAGTGCTGCACATCCTGTATCAGCCCCCACAGGTACTCACCATTGTAAAAGGAATGAGGGTGGCGGTGTCACAGGTGTTCAGCAGGTGGCACAAGGGAGTTTCACCATCTGAAGTGGCAGCTTTTCCCAATTCTAACTCTGTCCATGTTCACTCCCCTCCAAAGAGCCCGTGGGATGTGGCACCTTGCAAAGAGCTTGGAATACAGGCCCTGTGGCCACTGACCCTGCAGGTAAGAAATAGGTCTGCAAGCTGGGCCAGGACTTACCTGCCAGACCTGCCCAGCTCAGCTGGCAGAGATGCTCTCCTGCCTGCAGGGATGAGTCTCCCTCACAGCTCAGCAGAGATCAGGTCTGCAGGGCACAGTGCAGAAAGCAGCTCTCCCAAAAAAAACCACTCCCTGCCAAGAGCTAACAGGATGTGATGGGGAGCGGTGAGGAGGAGGCTGGAGCAGGCAGCCAAGCACCCTTCCCACTCAGTCTGGAGAGCAGATGGAGCAAACCAAGAGCTCTCTACCTCAGTCAACCTCCTCTTCCAGGCTGAGCTGGCTCCTCATGTCCTGGCTGCCTCCCACAAGGATTCCCAAGACTTGCACAGGGATTTTAGTGGCCTGGGACTGGAGGCAGACAGAGATAGTCACCCCCTCCTCCAGATAGATGTCAGGCTGCAGGGACAATGGCTCTGCTCTGCTTTGGCAGGACAGCTCCACTGCTAGGTCCTGTCTGGTGCATCACAGGCTGGGAAGGCAGCAGTGCAGCTGAAGCAGGATTTACTGCAGAGGATCCTGCACTGCAGTGAATGCTCAGTGCTGGCAGCCTCCCAGAGAAACCCCCTCGACAACATTCCCACCTTGGGGCACTCCTGTGACTGGTTGTGAGCCCAGAGTCGGGAGCTACGAGGCAGCTCCAGGATAGAGTGTGCAGCCAGGGAGGGAAGGGAGGGATGCTGCTGCTGGCAAGTGTGTCAGTGCAGGGCTGGAGCTGATTGCTCACAGGCACTCCCCAGCCCTGATCACTGCTGGAGATCTTCACTCTCTGGGGCTTCTCTTTATGCAGGACACAGGCACAAAGTAGGTACAGGCTGCCGAGGCTGGGGCTCTGTGCTGGCCATCTTTGCCAGGCTGATGTGACCCCAGGCAGTGCTGCAGCAGCAATCCTGCCTGCCCCTGTTTTCCGTGGCTCTGGGCTGCCTGCAGGAAGCAGGGGAGCACAGTCTCCTCCACCCCTGTTCTGTGCAGCACTGCCACAAAGCCCAGGGGCTTCATATCTGGGCCGTGCTACATTTAGCATCTATGAGGCCTTGCTGGGCTCCCGAGGGCCATTCCGTCTCTCCAATCAAGGGCACAGCTCTTCTGCAGCCTCCCTTCCTTGTCCCTCAAAGAAGGGGTGGGAAGGGCCTGGGTTTGGCTGAGTGCAGCGAGGAGCAAACCCTTTGCAGCCCTCCTGTCTCTGGGCTGAGCCGTGAGGCAGGAGAGCATCAGGCACTCCTTGGGCTGTGATCTCTGCAGCTGCACCACTGACTCCCAGATGCCCTCCCTTACTCCTCTATGTTTCAACATCCCAGGGGTCTCTCCACAGCACGGCTGCCCCCAGGTCCTGTTGTACAAATGTCCTCACATCACTTCTCCCCAGCACTTGGCAGTGTGGGAGCAAATGGTTGCTGCATGGGCATTGTTTTGAGCAGGACCCAGGGTGTGCTGATGTGCTGTGATCCATGAGCAGGAGGAAAAGGGAGAGACTCTCCAATTCCTGTGTTTGGGATAGGCTGAGGGCAGGGCAGAGATGTTCCTCTTGCGTAGGATGTGCATCCACCTTTCTCCTAGAAGGGTGTCTGCTGCAGCAGGATGTCCTTGGGCAAGGCCAGGTTTTAATTGCTGCAGCATCACCAGACACCCGAGTCATGGTGCCCCTCAGAGCCTCTGCTCCCAGCCTGCCTTCTGCAGCATCTGAGCTATTGGGAGCAGTGAATTTCCCCCCAGGGACCCCCACATGCCCTGCCTTTCTCCCTAGAGAGGATCCAGGGGCAGTTTGGCTGCTCTGAGCTGCCAGGGGAGCTGTCTGTGCTCTGCCTCTGCCTGCTGGTCCGTCTGTCCTGCCGCATCCACTCGCTCCTGCTGGTGTCTGCACTGCTGTGCTGCACTGTGCCTGTTTGTCCCTCTCGCTGTCTGTCTCCCTGACTGACACCTGCCACTGCAAACACTGCCTGCCCCCCTCTCCACTGCTCTGTCACTAGTAGGTTTTCTCCTCCCCACCCCTTTCCTCTGGGAGACCTCTGCATTCGGTGTGACTTGGGTGCTTTTCTCTGGTTAAGGGATAGCAGCCAGGCTGCAATCTGCAGCAAAAGGACTATCCAGAAGGAAAACCTCTGCAAGGAGCCTCCTGCAAATACTTAGGCAGAGAAGTGACTGCCAGCACTGCCCAGAAACTGCACACTCATGCCTGCCTCCACAGCCAGAGACTGAAAGGAAGCCCAAATCTCTCACGGTGGGCTTTGAGCCACTGCATGCCTCTAGAAGCTGGTCGTTGGAGCTTGACTTCCCTGGTTCACTCTGCAATAGCTGTGGTTGAGAGTGGGGATGTGGAGGAGACAGCTTGTGGAGATGTGAAATGTGAAAAAGACCCGTGTGTGTGTGTGTGTGTGTGTGGTTACAGGGGCTGCCCCACATCACAGCTGTGTTTGGACATGGACCTTGTGCTTACAACTTCTCCCCCCAACAACATTGCAGCGTGGCTCGTGTCTGTCTCTTTGCCTTGCATCCATCTGCTCCCAGGCTCGGTATCTTTCCCTGTTGTTTTGCCATGCCTCTCCTTCCATCCACAGCCAGCCCTGCCAGCCTGAGCCAGCAGCGTGGTGGGTCATGCTGCCACAGTGTCTTCAATACCCCAGTGCCACGAGGGTCAGCCCTCTGCCCTCCTCATGGCAGCACACTGGGACCCTGCTCAACACTCCTAGGGCACCACAGGCCCCCTGGCCAGCTTGAGGGGCTGTCCCTGTTCGGGCCAGCACACCTGCAGCCCGTGCAGTGAGAGAGCAGGCAGAGCCAAGCTTCTGTAGAATTAGCAAAACCCCCTGCACAGCCAGCTTGCAAAACCTCAGCATTCCAGCGTCACCTGGGATCAGGTTCTGCTGGAGGAGAACATGACTTTTGTATCAACTTTCCCAGTATCAGCCCTTTTGGCAGAGCCCAGCCAGGGCTGTGGGAGAGGCGAGGGCAGGGCAGGCCATCCTGTGTGTCTCTGGGCCTTCCTGGGATACCTCCAGACCCAAACTCCCAGGGAAAACAGCTCCCTGCTGCTGTCCTCTTCTGCTGTCCTGACCTTGTCAAAGAGCAGGGAAGAGGTCTTGTCCCAGGCTCCTTTATGGATCCGAAGCCATTTTGCCTGTGCAGAAGCAGCTCTGCTCATCCCCTTCCCAAACATGCTGATGGGAGCCTGTGGGGAGCAAACCCTTGCTGTGTCCCCGTTGTCACCAGACCTGGGGCAAAACCTGAAAGTCTGCATCCAGTGGCATCACAGACAGGCTGTAGATGTGACACTTGGGGCCATGGCTTAGCAGTGGATCTGGCAGTGCTGGGTTAGCAGCTGGACTTGATGGTGTTAAAGATCATTCCCAAATTAAATGATTGTGTGGTTCTTTGATTCAGCTGAGTGTCTTGTCATTCCCACAATGATTTCCTACATGGAGACCTGTGGTGACCTGCTGCAGAGTGACCCCTTGGTGGCAGAGGATGATACCTGCCCCCTCCTCAGCAAAGCCCACACCAAGCTGCTTTCCCCCTTCCCAACCATCCTCCTTTCCCAGCAAAACACCTCCCACGCTGCCGGGGAAGATGAGGGTTGGCAGCTCTTCCTCAAAACGATGTTCCCACGGTGATGAGGCTGTGTCGCCCTTCCTGAGGAACATAAGGGTGGCAGCGAACCGCACCTTCCGCATCGGTGCGCGCCCCTTGTCCGGGGCGGGGGCGTCCGAGTCCCGCAGAGGCAGGGCCGGGGGCCGAACCTCCGTGACGCCTCCCGGCCCCCATTCGCTGGGTCCGCCCGCCCAGCCCTGCCCAGACTGCGGGAGCGCCGCGCCCACAGCCCGCCGGGCAGCCCCGGACAGCGCCGGCAGCCCCGCAGGCAGCGGGCAGCACCGGACAGCGCCCGCAGGTAGGCACCGACCGCCCCGCAGCGCCCCGCACGCTGCCGGCCCGGCTCGGGGCGCACCGCGGGGCTGCGGGCGGGGGAGGCTCCGCAGCTCCGGGCGCGCCGGTGGCACCGGGAGCATCCCTCCCCTCCCCGGGGGATGCTCGGCCGGACGGGGCGCGCTGGAGGAGGGGACGGGCTCTGCTTCTCGCCCCGCTGCCGGTGCCCCCACCCTCGGCTCGGGACTGCGGCATTCCCGCTGGGCGCGCCCCCGCGCACTCCCGCATTCCCGCATTCCTGCTGCAGCGGGGGGAGATCGCCCACCCCCACCCCTCCTGCCCCTCTCGGGGGTCGCCCCATCGCTCTGCCCTGCGCACCCCCTTTGCTGGCAGCCACCCCCCGGCTCCTGCGGCTCTGCACGCCCCCGTCCCCATCCCCGCACAGCGTTTGTCACCCCGAGCCTGTCGCGCTGCTGGGCACAGGGGGTAGGTACAGGGGCCATGGTGTGCCCCGAGCTGGTGGGGACTGCGCCGGGATCTTTGCCCTCTAAGAGCTGGAGCCCCTCGAATGCCACCGTCCTCCTGAGCCCTGTCCCCACGCCAAACCCCTGGGATCGTGCAGGAGCGACAGTGACCTGGCTTGCTCTGCTCCCAGCACTGCTGGCAGGAGAAGAGGGGTCTAAGGGCTATCAACCCGGAGCCTAGAAAATCTGAGTGTTTGGGCACATAGATGGGAGGAAAACCCCTCTCTGGGAGCTTCTTTGCATGGATTTTCTGGAGGAAAGCCAGGCTATGACCTAGATAGTGTCCAGGACATTCCAAAGGGAGTAGATTGGTGCTGGGAAATGACAAAGCAAGGGACGGGGGACAATTTCTAGGAATCCAGAAGTTCAAGCGTTTACCCCATTGGCAACCTCTTGAGTTGCCAGTGAAATCAAAAGAAGGGAATTTTTCTTCCTGGCCGAGGTTTAGGGCTCTGGATAAAGAAATTTTTCAGAGCTTCAGGGTGAGTAAATGGGTTTGGTATTTCCTCTTAGAATATTATATGAAAAACCCCAAAATTGCTAAATAGAAAAATGCAGCTGGCTGTGGTACAGGCAATGCCCAGCTCTTCCCTGGATGCTTTGCCAGGCTCCGAGGGAACAAACTGAGGGTCTGTTGTCCCCTCTGCCAGCCTGCAGTCCCGAAGGGCTGGTTGATCAGCTCCCCCTCTTGGACCTGGCCCGACACGGCCAGCCTGGAGGGCTGACTGCAAGATGCTTGGTGTGTCCTTCAGCCTGGCTGCCTCGCTGCTCCCCCACCCTGTCCCTCCATTCCGCATGTCTGCGGCTGGATTCCCCACGCGGCTCTTTGGCCAGCCTGCAAACCTGTAATTGATTCCTTGTGGCTGCCTTGGGCCGGCTGCAATCAGCAGCTCTGCTGTTTGGATGGCACATCACGGGCCCCTTACCCACACACACAGCCTGGAGAGACACGGGGCAGGGACACAGACAGGGATGCTGCCATCCAAACCCCTTCCAGCCCGTGGCCAGGCAGGCTGAGCTCAGCTCTGGAGGCTTCATGCCATCCTTTGGCGCTCTTGGCTCGCCGTCCAGCTGCTGTGTCCCTCTTCCTCGCTGCTCTTGGCCCCTTTCCCTCGCTGCATTGCAATGACTCATCCTTGCTGAGCTCACCCGCTGGAGCTGTGGGAGAACTGGCAGGGCGGGCGCCCACCAGCCCCCAGAGAGGGTCCCTCAGCTGGCAGCCCCTCGCCGCGAGCCACAGACCTCTGATCAAGGTGGGCAGGCACTGGGGTGCAGCCTGGTTTCACCTGTCTGAGCCTTGGCTGGCCATGGGGCAAAAGGCTGGACAGGCAGGCCTTGCTGCAGGTCTGGCTATGCTCATTTAATGTCTGCTGGGGAGATCTGGGCAGGGAAAACAAAGAGTGGATGGGGAAGTGCAAAGATGATGCTGGGCAGACACGCAGTGCCTGGTTCCCCAGCTGGGTGCAGTGCCAGCCAGGCTCTGTGCAGTGAATCAGACGAGGAGCAGACGCCAGGGCATTGTCTGTGCAAGAAGGGCAGCCTGCACCACCGAGTGCCCACACCGTGGGGCAGTGGCCTGGCTAACTGCCTGTCTCTCCCCCTGCCCAGGTTCCCCTCCCAGAGACAGCCCCCACCGGGCACCTCAGCAGCGAGATGAACCCCACCGTGGGCATCGCTGTCATCCTGACAGGTACATCCCTCCCTGCCCGGCCCAGAGCAGCCTGGAGGCTGCACGGGCACCCCCAGAGCTCGCTGATCCCTGTCCAACCCCCTCCTGCCTCTCCCAGTCCTGCAGGCCGCCCACTGCCAGATGATCAAGGACCTGAGTGCCTGCCTGCTGGGCCAGAACCTGCGCGTGGACTGTCGCTATGAGAACAAAACCGACAACCCCCTGACCTACGAGTTCAGCATCACCAAGGACAACAGGAAGCACGTCATCCACAGCACCATCAGCGTCTCCGAGAACATCTACCGCAGCCGAGCCAACGTCACCATGCACAAGAACCTGGTGTGCCTCCACCTGCAGAGCTTCACCACCAGCGATGAGGGCATCTACATGTGCGAGCTGAAGGCCACCAACGACTACACCGGCAACCAGATAAAGAACATCACTGTTATCAAAGGTGAGACAGGCGGTGGCACCTGGCCTCAGCCCTTCCCACCTGCTCCTTGGCTTGGCAGGGCCAGCAGAGAGCACCACAACTCCCTGTGGATCCTCAGGGAGGATCCATAAATGTGTCCCGACCCTTCAGGTGCACTTCATCTACCCGATCCCACACCACTTTTCCTGCCTCTCTTGGGTCCCACCTCAGGCACATTGCCTCGATATCCTCCCATGGAGAGGACAGTGGGGATCCTCCACACCTACAGCCCACAGGAGCTGTCCTCCAGGTGCAGAGACCTTTGTGTCACCTGCTGCCCATCCACTTGTCACCTCAGTCAGGCACAGGCAGGGTTATGCTTCTCAGGGTCCCAAAAAAAACCTTTGCTACTACATCCCCTCCACTGGGAGGGAAACAGGCCAGGATGGGACATGCTGCACTTCTGTGACAGAGCAAAGGTGCAAAGTTGTGTTCCTGTACCCTTAGAACTCCCAGCCTGAGCCCCGTTCCCGAGGGATTTCATGGCCTCTCTTCTCTCCTCCCCATTGCTTTCCTCACAGACAAACTGGAGAAATGCGCCGGCTTCAGCCTCTTGATCCAGAACACCTCGTGGCTCCTGCTGCTGCTCCTTTCCCTGCCTCTCCTGCAAGCCGTGGACTTCGTGTCCCTGTGAAAGGCGAAACACACTCACACACACACACACACACACACACTCACAGCGCTCGCACACACACGTACGCACCCACCGAGCACCCCGGCCACCCCGCCTTCCTCGCAGCCCCTGGAAAGAGAAGCTGAAGCGTCTGGAAGCCGTGAAACCTCTCTGTGTTATCTCTATTTAGCCGTATATTAACGCTAACCACCATCCCACGCACCCGCGCCCCGCTCCGAAGCATGGTGGCTCTGCTAGGCAGCGTTGCTTCTCCCATGGCGCCTCCCCGCTCCGCAGGCTGGCTGGTTTGCTTGTGCTGGCAGCACTGGAGGCCTCAGCCTCGCTTGTCCCATCCCTTTAACTCTTGGGGTTTGCCCGTTCTCAGCTGGATTGGCAGGTAAGAGAGGCGGGTGATGCGAGAGCGTGCGGAGGGTGCCCGTGGTGGGTGCTGTGCCCGTGGTCCCTGGAGGTGACAGGGCTCTTGGTGTCCCCACCCGCCCTGCCTGCCACCCAGGTGACTGATTCCTCAGCCTGCCCCTCTCACCCTGCGCTGCCAGGGCTGGGAGAGGGCACAGAATGACTCGGTGAATGGGGAGCCATGAGACGCTGCTGGGCCTGGCAGGCTGGGAGGAGAGAGGGGAGCAGGTCTAGGAGACACCATGAACCCCCCCCCTGCCTCCTTAGGGCTCCTCTGGGACCCTGGGAATGGGCTCAGTGCGAATGTGCTTCGGCAACAAGTTTTTCCTAATCTATTTCTTACAGCTGAGCTGGAAGTGAGGCCTCCTCCAGACCCCATCTGGTACCTTTGGGCTGCCCAAGCCAGAGCCACCACTCGCTCTCCCCGGGGACCAGCCCTTAGCTGTGACGAGAGAATTGCTGCCAGCACCAGTGGAGGCAAGCAGAGCCTCTCTGAGCTAGCCACAGCCCCACTGCCCTCCCCAAGCCCTCAGAGATGTGCCCAGGCTGGCTGGTGGGGAGGGGGTTCCCCTCTGGGAGTGTGACCCCAAAGTCTCTGCAGGGACTCCTCTGTACCGGCACTTTGTCTTCCTGAAGGGAACATCTGGAGATATCCCCAGTCCTTCCTCATGGAGAGGCAGAGCAGTCTTCCTCAAGTCCCACCCGTGTGGCCCTTCCCCTCTCCCTCCTCCCTTCCAGCATTTCCCCGTCTCCCTTGAAGAGCAGCAAAGGAGCGAAGGGCACCCACAACCTCGGCAAGGCCAGGATGGTGCCAGGGGGTGGCGAGAGCAGGGACAGGGATGGCCAGCACAGCTCAGATCTGCCAGCCCAGGGCTGCCCGGATGCCCACGGGACCCCGAGGAGCCTCACCCAGGGGAGGGCACAGGGAAAGGAAGAGGCAGGCAGGAGCATCCAGCTGTGCCACGCGTGCAGCCCGGGCTGAGAGCAATACACAGCAGCTGCTCCCCACTCCTTGCTGCTCTCCAGAGCTGCTTCCTACCCCCGTGCCCGTCCCTGCCCATCCCTGCCTGCTTGCTTGCTGTCTAGTGCTGCTGAGGCCGTGCCCAGCTGAGGCCTGGCTGTGCCCAGCTCCCTGGGCGTGCTGGTGAGCGCCGGGGCAGGCACAGAGCCCAGCGGCAGAGCGCGGACACGGCTCGAGTCTCATTTTTTTGTGAACATTTGTAGTTATTTCCACAGCTTGTCGTCAAAGAAATTCTGTTAAGGGAAAAGGAAAAAAAAAAAAGGAAAAAAAAGAACCCTATGAAAAGCAACAAGAAAAAAAAAGACCACCTTACCATCCAGGAGTGTTCCTCTGTCTGCACAATAAAACCCTACCTAGGTTCTGTGTTGGAGCCATGGGCACCCGTGTGTGTGGCACTGGGGGTGAGGGCTGTGTGGGGCTGGGCACCAGGACCCTGCTGAGGGGCTCAGCCCCCCAGGCAACCCCCATGTGCCTCCAGCACCCCAATGGCTGTGGGAGAGGAGCAGGCAGAGGGGCGAGATGCAGCTTCCCTGGGCAGGGCAACCCCCTCCTGCCCATCTGGAGCGTGGCCCCCTGCTCCCAGAGCCTTTGTCCCCATCCCTGTCCCTAAACCCCCGGCACAGCAGGGGACCAGGTCTGGTCCTGGCCCATCCATCCTCTGGGGAGGGAATTGCCAGGGATGGAAGTGGCCATGGGAGTGGGGCTGGGTGGGCACGTGTCCCAAAGCTCCTGTGCCCATCACACCAGGGTACTCCTGGGGCCCCCGTGCCCATCACACCAGGGTCCTGCTGGGGCTCCTGTGCCCATCACACCAGGATCCTGCTGGGGCTCCTGTGCCCATCACACCAGGATCTTGCTGGTGCTCCCATGCCCATCCCACCATGGTCCTGCTGGGGCTCCTGTGCCCGTCACACCAGGGTCCTCCTGGGGCCCCTGTGCCCATCACACCAGGGTCCTGCTGGGGCTCCTGTGCCCATCACACCAGGGTCATCCTGGGGCCCCTGTGCCCATCACACCAGGGTCCTGCTGGGGCTCCTGTGCCCATCACACCAGGGTCCTGCTGGGGCTCCTGTGCCCACCACACCAGGGTCCTGCTGGGGCTCCTGTGCCCATCACACCAGGGTCCTGCTGGGGCTCCTGTGCCCATCACACCAGGGTCCTGCTGGAGACCCTGTGCCCGTCACACCAGGGTCCTGTGCCCATCACACCAGGGTCATCCTGGGGCTCCTGTGCCCATCACACCAGGGTCCTGCTGGAGCTCCACACACTGCCTGGGGGCTGCCAAGGGCTCCCGTGTCCTTTGGAGCAGCCATACACTGCCCTGCCCAGTGTCAAGATGCCACCCTGGCACCAGGAGCCACCAGCAGGACTCAGCCACCACCCCCTGACACCATTGGTGACCCTGCGCCACCTCCCAGAGTGACGCCCCGATGCGCCCCTCCCTGTTTAAGGGCTGGAGGCAGACGGGAGGCAGGGAGGAAGATGCCACCCTAATTACACCCCTCGCCATTATCCTGGGCAGGTGTCACTGAGTCACGGCCACGCAGGTGCCGTAGCCTGGGCGGGTCAGGCGTCCCCACGGATCCACGAGGGGCGGCCACGCCACGCCAGCTGCCCCACGCCCACCTTTGCTGAAGGCTTAGGGGGCTCTTCTCCCTGCAGCTCACCCCAAGGTGGGGCAAAACCCCATCCAGCTCCTCTCCTCACCCTAATGCTCTACTCCAAACCTTGCTGGCAGCCACCACCACCCCTTTGTGTGCCTCCCTGCCCCACACCAAGTCACGTTGCCACCACCGCTCCCTCCCTTAACCCTCCCTCCACCCTTTGCCTCCTGGACCTCGTCCTGCCTCCCCAAATCTCTCTGTCCCCCACACTTACCCTCAGTCCTGCTGCACCCCACACAGCCCCTCAGCCTGCCCTGGTGTCACCCCCTTGCCGTGGGCCACCAGCCCCTCCGGCCTCGCGTCCCCTTTAAGCCTCCCCAAGCTGGAATGCGAGAGGAGCATTTCAGCGCCCTGTGAGGTCAGATAAAGACACTATATTTATCTGCCTGGTAACCCGAGCCCTGAATTTCTGCGGTGGTGTTTTTACGTGGCCCCACAGCCCTCGGGCTCGGCCACTGCGCTCCGTCCCAGCGTGGAGGGGCTGAGCTGGGGGCGTCCTGTCCCCTGTGAAGGGTTCTGCTGCTGCCCATCTCTGGTGTTGGGGGAAGCTCCCCAAGGAGACAGGATCAGCTCCCAGGGCATCACCCAATGCCTGGTTGGTCGCCCCTCGCCGTGCCCTGAGCAGCCATCGGCCACCCGTGCCACATGCAGGTGAGTGCAGGTGGGGACACGGCCCCGGGGAGGGGGACACGGAGACAGACAAAACTGTCCCGCTCTTCCTGCAGCTGGATAACAGCCCGGGGGAGAGGTTTCTCTCCAGGGAGAAGGTTCTGAGTTCACTCACAAAATCCTGGCTTTGAGCCGCCCTCCCCAGCACCCTCCTCGTCCCCCTGCGTGGGCAGAGCCGCTTGACCGAGGGTCCCTTCTTTGTTTTTGCCACCCACAGAACTCAAAGCAGTAATTCATGGCCTGGGTCTTACATCAGGGTCCCCTGTGGGTTTGGGGTGGCCATGGAGCAGCGAGCAGCAGGCTCTGCAGCAGGGTGGGGATGGGGCAGCAGCACGGAGGGGGCCAGGGCGGTGACTCCCGCCGAGTGGGGTGAGCTCGGGGGGTTCTCAGGCCCAGGGCTGGCCCTGGCCAGGCTGAGTGAGTCACCTTGGGCAGGACCTGTCACTTTGTGGGGTGGCAGTGGTGGGGACAGCGCAGGAGCCGGGCTGGGACAGAGGCACTGCAGTCCTCATCTGTCCAAAGGGTCACTCCTGTCCCCTCCAGGGAGCAAACATTTTGTAGCTCATTCCCCCCAGGGCTGCTCGGGGTCACCCTTCCTAGAGGGAAATGGATACCTGGAGACATTCTGTGCCTTGTTTCCCTTGGGGGGAGCAAACATCTTGTGGCTCATTCCCCCCCAGAGCTGCTCGGGGTCACCCTTCCTAGAGGGAAATGGATACCTGGAGACATTCTGTGCCTTGTTTCCCTTGGGGGGAGCAAACATCTTGTGGCTCATTCCCCCCCAGAGCTGCTCGGGGTCACCCTTCCCAGAGGGAAATGGATACCTGGAGGGATTCTGTGCCTTGTTTCCCTTGGGGAATGAGCAGGAGGCTGTCCCACCTCGCTCAGCTGGCCACAGAGCCCCTCAGCCCCAAAGCATTTGTACTCTGGAGCGTGCAAAGTGCCTCACACAGGGTCCCCTCTCTGCCTCCACCACGGCAGAGTCCCGGGAGCCCCCAGGTAACCTCCAGGCTGGGACACTGTGTCTCAGGGGACAGCTCTGAGCCTGCGTAAGCGAGAAGCAGCTGTGCTGTGACACCCTGGATGGAGCCAGCGCTGTGTAAGCTGAGCTGAGCCCGCTCTGGGGCTCCGTGGCCACCGAGGGGGACAGCTGCCACCAGGCACGGGCAGGACAGAGGGGACACCTGCCACTGGGCACGGGCAGGACAGCAGCTGGGGACAGAGCAGGGCTCTGGTTTTCTGCCTCAGAGTGAAGGTTTGAGCTGAGATTCCCAGGGAGGGCCAGGGCAGGACTCCCCGTGTGTCCCTCTCCCATGTGGTGGCACCAGGCCCGTGAGCGCAGACCGGACATTCCTGTGCCTCAGCTTCCCCTGACACCCCGGGAGGATGATGAGGGTGCTGAGGCCTGACTCAGCCGTGCGGGCCCCAGGGCTTTGCCAGGCAGCAGGAAAGCTCAGCACAATGACGGGCAGGGAGGGGCCAGGCAGCCCAGGAAGCGCTGGGAGGAACCGGGGTTTTCTCACACCCCCTCAGCTCCTCTGGCTCCTGGCACTCTCCGCTCTCCCACCGCCCTGGGGTCCGCTCGGATGTGACATGGGGACCTGGAAGCACAGGCAAGCCTGGCAGATGTGACATTCCTCCATGGTAAGGCCTCTCTGTAAGGAACAGGCTAGCTCCCGTGGCCGGGCACGGTGCCCGCTCCTGACCCGGCATCCCTCCATCGGCTGCTCCGCATCCCCAGGGCAGGTGAAGACCTGTCCTGCTGCCAGGAGCACCTGCTGCCCTCCTGATCCCGAACCGCTGCTCTCCTGGCGCTGCCGGTGCCAGGAGAGAGCGTGGGCACCTGGCAGGGCATGATGGCGTGGGGCTCTCCTGGCACTGTCCCAAGCCAAGATCATCTCTGCTGGCGAGGAGGATGGGGAGCAGGGGCAGTCCCTGTGCCAGGCTGCTCCGTGCCCCAGCAGGGCAGGCAGCCAGGATGTGCTCCTGGGAGCCCAGGGGCTCCGTCATCCCATCCTGGCACTCGTGCCAGTCTCCTGGCTGGGATCCCGCTCCCTGTGAGCGAAATTCCCCACTGTCCATGTCCAACCCCGCCTGGCAGAGCCCTGCTCCTGGTGAGGGCAGCCACAGCCATGCTGGGACGAGCCGGTTATTCACCCTTCAGCCTCCGTCCCCAAACAGGTCTGTGCGCTCCACCTCGCTGCTGCGTGTAAATATTGTAAATATTTCCCTGTCCGTGGTGGGACAGCTGCTCCCTGGGCAGTAACAAAAGCGGGCGGGATGTGGCTGCAGAGCCAGGCTGCCCTGTGCCTGGTCCCCAAGCCCCGGTGGCACCCTGGCTGCTGCAAGGGATGGGCCAGGCACAGGCTCTGGCACCTCCTGGCTTGGAGCCGGGCCAGAGCCCGCCCCGGCTGGGCTGGGAAAAGCCTTTGAATCAGGGTCATCTCCCGGGTGACTGGAGACTCTGGGAGCCACATGAGCCACTGTCCTGCCAGGGAAGGGACACCGGTCACCCTGGGAGCTGAGCACCGGCAGCGCTGGGGCAGAGGAGCTCGGCTGGGTGCTGCCTGCCCCGGTGCCACCCACAGCCCCAGCACAGGTAGGGATCAGCCATCAGCCTGCTGGCATGGGCACTGAGGGCAAACTCCCCTGACAGCCCGTGTTTGGGGACTGCTGGCTGCCACGCTGCCCTGTCCCTGCTCCGGGTTGGCTCTGTGTGTGCTCTGGGGCCTCTGTGCCTGTCTCTGTGTGCTCCTCTCCTTCTGGGAGCCACCAGCTCTCTGTGGGGACCAAGTGCTGGCTGCCACCTCACCAGGAGGACTCTGGGCTTGAGTTACTGATGGGGCACACGGGGTACAGCCATGGCAGGGAGACAGGAAAGCTGCTCACATCTGAGCTTGCCTCAGTTTCCCTCTCACTGATGCGCCAGCCCCTTGCCAAGCCCCAGCACTCCCTGTGAGTAACCAGGGGAAGGTGCTGGGCTGGCTGGATCGGCCCATCCCTCCTGCCTGTCTCAGCCAGAGCTGGGCCTGAGCAT